ATGAAATATCAAGGCTAGGACCAAACAAAATATTTTATAACTTGGAAGATGGATGTCGTAATCCAAGTCACAAAATATTTAAAGGTGGGTAAATGACTATTTACCAATTTCCACCACGAAAAATGATTTTTTTAGGTTTTAAGCGAATTGAAACTCCTAGATCTTTTAAGATTCATTGAACTATTCAATGACATGTTTAAATCTTTATTGTGCCCTTCAAGTTTGTGACTGGGCTGCCGAGGATCACAAACAAGGAGTGAATAACCATGCAAATTAGGTTGGTATACCCAATATTACAACCACCTAACCAATGAGCCGGTTAATCACACACAATCCATTGATCTATGATTAACATCAAGCTACCCTTTGCCACACATTGTCAGTCCCAGATTAGTATGCCGGTTAACCTCACACACTCCATTGATCTATGATATACATGGGGGTAACTTTACAAATTCAAAAACTTGAGGGCAAGTTTTGAACAATTCAAAAACTTTTGGTTTCCATAACTTATGAGTTTAATATGGTTTTTATGGAAGACTTTTCAAATTCCATAACTTGAAGACAAGTTATGGAAGACATAAAACATTTTATGATGACATTAAAAATAGAGACTCTTCCATTTTAAAAACCTATGAGACTTAATGTGCCTTTAAATGAAAAAAAAAACCTCTTCATTTTCCATAACATGAGGACAAGTTATGGAGTACATAAAAACCATTAAGATCAATTTACCAATTAACACAATCATCAAGTAATTTTCCTATGAACAAGATCAAACTCATAAGCAAAGATAATTCATATAAACAATTTTCAAGAACTTAGCTAATCAAATGAACTAACACAAATCTTGAAACTTTGACAATTATCCTTTATTTGGATGAGAATAAACAATACCATAGCATCAAAATCAAATTTTATGAACAAAAACACTTTGTGGTAATGATTCTAATCCAAAACAGGCAAAAAAAACTCGAAAATCTGCATCCAGGACTGCAAAATCATCGAGTGCATGAGCTGACTCATAGAGTTGGTCAAATATGTGAGTGTACTCAACGAGTCACTCATCCAACTCGGCTAGTCCAAGGCTAAAAACATGCGACTCAACGAGTTAAGCACTGAACTCGACAAGTTCGACTGTCAGAGCGCATAAAATTCAACTTTTTAGCTTTGAAAACCAATAAAAACATCAAATATAATAGAAAACAACATGGCTTTGATACCACTGTTGGGTTTTGTATAATACAGCATCATATGGTGCACATACAACCCTAAATGCCTTGGATCTATGTTTTCTCTAATTATACATGTAATGATATTTCCAAAGCATTAAGCCTACAACTAACATGCAATTGCCATAAACAATATGAAATACTAGTTAGGATGACATACCTTTTACGTAGCTTGAAACCTTGTTGTATTTTGGCCTTAAGAGCTTATCACCAAAAGTATGAATGCCTCAAATGGCTCACAACTCACCTAGGACAAAGGTGTCTCTTAAAAGAGAATCTCCATGCACCAAAAACACCTCATGAACTCCAAGAATATGTGTGTAGGCGTTTTTTTGGCTAAGGATTACATATATATATGTTGGATTCCAAGGGTTATGGGTATAACCCAAATCCATACCCATGGGTATTATGATCCATGGTTCATGTGGCCCAAATCTTTATGTGTCCATACATAAACGTGGTCCAACATGGATCATAAGGCCAACACATATAAATATAACTAATTACCATAATTAGTCCCCATAGATTTAATTAGTCTCTTTTGATCACTAAATTAATTCCAAATTAATTCTTGATTAATACTAATTAAAACATATGATTTCATATTAATGTATTAGAACTTATAATATTAATAAATCATATATAACCTTCTCTCAAGAGTCCATCCTAACAAATTTTCCTGATGTTATGCAATCCAAATGGACCATACTACTCTTGGGTCGAGTACATACCAATAATAGTTATGGGCTTAGGCATCTAATTCAACAACTCATATATTTGAAGTTAAATCCTAGAAGGGGTCTTCTGTTACAAAAAGTAATCTAAATTTAAAGAACTTTGTTGATGTTGATTGTGCTAAGTGTTTAGTATCTAGAAGATAAGCTACAGGTTATGTTGTTTTTCTTGGTGATATTATTGTGTCTTGGAAAAGTAAGAAACAAGATATTGTTTCTCGGTCCTCTACATAATCAGAGTATAAAGCACTTGGTGTAATATCCTGTGAAATTATGTGGATTTTGAAAATATTATTTGATGTTAGGTTGAAAGATCTAACACCTGTTTCTATTTTCGGTGACAATGAGTCAGCAATAAAACTTGTTCATAATCCAGTGTTTCATGAAAAAACAAAACATTTTGATGTGGACACTCAATTTATAAGAGATAGTGTGTCCAAAGGTGTTGTTGAAGTTCATAAAGTAAGTTCATATTTAATCTGGCAGATATTTTTACTAAGCCTTTGGGAGTTGTTCAGCATAAATGGATTTGTAAAAGTATAGGGCTTATTGAACCCTTTCAGAATAAGTGTTGAATCAGTTTTGAATTATAAGTTTGCGGAGGGGTGTTGAATTATAATACAAACTTATAATTCGTAGTATCCTTTTTGTATCATTTTAATATTTTAGTTTATTTATTAATATATATGCTTGTGTTTATTATGGTTTGGTGCAGGAGGGTATATTGTGTATAATTAATAAAAGTCTTGGACTGGAATGATGATGTGGTGAGTTATGATACACACGAGTTATAATTGACCCATGTTATTGTTCAGTGACCCAACTGACAAGTAAATGGTATAAATAATATGTTTGTGTAGAAATTGGGGATATACGCTTATTTCATCTTCATATAGATATCGTCTTCCTTATTTTGTCATTAGGGTTTCTTGTACTAGTCTTGCCTTCTGTTCTTAATCAGTCAGTCATAAGGTGTTTAGATTAAGGAGTGATTTGTAGTGAGGAACTTTGTAAAGAGACGAGTGCGATGTGTGGTGAGGTTTTGATTTGTAAGTAACCTTGAAAACCAACTAGTTCTTAATAAAATAAGAGTTGTTGATGTTGTGTATTTTTTTTCTTTGAGTTTCTTTTAAGAAATACTTTATATAAATGATAGGCTTTATATAAAGTTGGTATATTTATATTAACACTCAACTAACAATAAATAAATAATTTAGCCATCACGTTTTGTCTCCTTGAACTTACGACTGATTTTGACCTAAGATATAGGCTATATTTCTTTTTCATTGTTTAATATATGACCCATGCACTACTAGAAAAACAGCCTTTTACGACGCTCATTGCGCGTCGTAAAAGGCTCAGACGACGCGCAAATGCGCGTCAAGGAAGGCCCTGTCATAAAGAGAGACGACGCGCATTTATGACGCTCATTTAAGACACGCAATTATGACGCACATTTACGATACGCAATGCGTATCAAGGAAGGCCCTGTCATAAAGGAAGACGACACGCATTGGCGTGTCGTAACATTACGACGCGCGTGTTAATGACACACAATGCGTATCAAGAAAGCCCCTATCAAGAAAGGCCATGTCATAAATGAAGACGACACACATTTTTGCGTATCATAATTTTAAATGATTAAAAAAATTATTATTTTTAGATTTACTAATTTTCGAATTAATAATACATTAAAAATCCCACAATACAAAATAAAATACCATAAATAAAAAAGATAATTCATTTCACTAATATGTCAAATACATATAATTATTCCAAAAGTGAGTAAATGTTATAAAAAATGAACTCATTTATATACAATTGCATCATCTAGCTTACTATGTGCCAACAACTCTCTGTGTGTTTTCTTTTGCTTGAGTCTCGTTTCCTCCAAAGCTTCTAGCCATGCCAAAATATGATATCTTGAGTCTCGTTTCAAGAACCAAAAGAAATAACAAAAGTGTATAATTGATGTATAAATATATTTTATGCCAACTTATGACATGAAAATATGTTAGGGGATTAAGTCGAAGAAACTACCCAGGACCGAAAGAAAGAAGCTAGCTCAAACACCATCTGCATACGGATTGATCATGAGTTATGAAGTTGTGTTATAGCCCTAAAAACAAACACTTTGTGGAAATGAAGAATCAAATGCAATAAATGTCCAACCTTCGATCCATGATAGCTTCAATGTTGTTATTTCTCATTTTCTTTTGTGCCTCCACATCAAAAGGGTCTGCATAAAGTAGCTCCTGTGTTTAAGAGTAACGACCAAACTTTTCTCATATTGTAAAGAAGACGCAACGACCAAACAAAATTGACTTAGTTTAAAAGTAAAGAAAAATGCATGTAGGGCTACGGTAGACTGAGAGAAAATGACTTACTTTAAGAATAAAGTAGCTCCATTCTTGGATCCGATACCACCAGGTACCAACAAAAAATTCAGAGAAACTTTTAAAAATCTATACATAATAGAAGCTTAATCGCACAAGAATAAAATAATCAAATTCAATGATTAACCTATAAATTAGAGAATATGAAAGAAGATAAACGTGGAAAATAAACAAATCAATTTCCCTAATTCAAAGAAACAAGTAGACTGAGAGAAAATGTTATGTTTATTTCATTTATATTATTCTATAATAACTCCTGTTTATGAAAATAGTTATAAGAAGAATTAGGGAAATTCACATAGATAACTGCTTGGAAAAAAATCCATTATAATATTATAACAAACACTTGGAGTGCAGTAAGACGATAGAACTTACATAGTAGCTTCTTCAAGCATCCATGGAGGGTTTCGTATTAATTAAAATCAGATTACTTTCGAAAAAACAAAAAACATGAAGAGAACAAAGAAGCCCTAAAACAAAATACAAATGATGAATGAAGAGATTTGAGGAGGTGAAGGCAGACATAAAGTGTCCTGTCTCACCCAGTTGTTAGACGCATGCTAGAATCCTAGGGTTGTTTGACAACTCTGAACAATTTCTATTGCAAAACTCCTGTTGTGATATGTATTTCATAGTATAAATCATTAAATAAGTGTTCTCTGCCATTGAAGATTATACTTTGTTGTAGTTTCTTTTGATTTTAAACTTATATTCTTTAAGAAAGAAGGAGAGGAAGGGTGTTAATGGAATAACACAAATTAAAGCTATTTAAAAAAAACCACTTGCCTGGAAGATTATTTGAAAGGAATATCCATATTTACCGGCATCTTTCTATCTTGACTTTCTCTGTAAACAAACAGTCAAACAAGATGAAGTGAGAGCTATTATAATGCTTCTACTCAGCATATATATATATATATATATATATATATATATATATATATATATATATATATATATATATATATATATATATATATATATATATATATATATATATATACCTTGTATGGCTTGCAAAGGAGTTCCAGTCAAACGCAATCTGTGAGAGCTATTATAATGCTTCAACTCAGCATTTAACTTGCAAGAAGCATTTTTTATATGATGCCCTTCATCAATTATAAAATAACGCTAATGTATCTTGCTCAGTTTTGGCTTATCATGCTTCTTATATTATTCTTTTATCCAACTTAGTATATTTTAATTTATCATACTAAAATTATATTTCTTACCTTCAAGTCCACGTAAGTTTGATGGTTTGCATCATCAAAAGCACGCATTTTAACATCACGCCATCTGCAAATTTTTTACAAAAAAATATTAGAATTGATAATAATAATAATAATAAATAAATTTTTATTTTTTTTTAATGTAAAAAAAAACATAGACATTCCAGCTCCAAGCAGGGTCTCAACAGCTTCCACAAGCACTTGTACTTCAGACACTGAAAAAGGTCTCCTGGTTCTTCTTTGTGAAAGTTGATATATTTTAATTGAATCTGCCACTTGTTTTCCTTCTTCTTCTTCACTTATTGCATTCACATGTTCTACTTCATTCTTCTCCAACACAGGACTAGGAGGTATCAACAATGGAGTTTCTTTCTGTATAGGATATGAAGATGGAGATGGAGAAGAAGGCTCAGGTAAAGTAGGCTCCAATGTGAATCCTAAAGATTCAAGATTATATTTTTGGGAAATCCCTATTTGTTCCAAAAGATAGATCCCAAAAACAAAATTCCACTGAACTAAAAAATAAACAGAAAATAACTTGCATTGTTGCTAAGAAACAACCCTCGAAAAGCATATAATTGTCCAAAAAAATATAACTATACCCTCTATACCAAAAAAAACTAGTCCAACTCAAGAAAGAAAAACAGAATTGGAACCAAAGATCCATAGAAAAATCCAACACAAAACATCTCAAATATTCCAGACCACAAAACTGGGACAAAAACTAGTCAAAAGGGTAAATATGTCCAAATCCCAAAAAAAATTGAATATAACTTCACAAATCCAGGTAAAACACAAAAAAAAAAAATAACCCTATACTATTACTAACACTTACATTGTTATTTCGACCAATGGAAGCTCCCCAATGGATTCTGCAGAATCAAGTGCATTTTCAACAAGTTCTCTCACGGTATTGTAAAGTGATTTTCCAGGCTGAAACTCAAATACAACATATAATTATAAAATGTTAAATACATAACAACCATAAGGCCAACTAATTACCTTTGATGTTTTATATTATGTGGTAATAGATCACATCATGTAAAGTTATGCTGAATCATTCATAACAAAACAAACAAAACATATACTAGATTACACAATACAACTTTCGTTGTGAAACCCAGCAATGTTCTTATTCTCCGCAAAGAACTCAGCAAGAGAGTCTGAAAAAACCAATGGAGACTCTGAAAGAAACAAAACTTGAAATTAAACTACAATCAACACAATACCATCTCCTGGTATCGAGGTTGAACAAGATAAATACATTTAATTAAAATGAGAAGTGAAAAAGAAAAGAATTATTACTAGTCAATTCTTATGAAAATACCAAATGATGTTGTTATATCCTAATGTTATAAAACATGCCAATATATCTTCCGTTTAATTTACCTGTGATAGAATTGAGCTTACATGGCTATCCGATATATCCTCCATAAATATGTAATATGAAAAAAAAAAACTTGCATCCATAAGTTTAACCATGATCGGAAGCATATAAAAAAGTATAATATATTTGGAGCTTGTGAAATCAACTTTACCATAATCAACTTTACCAAAAGATTCGTTGTTTGCACCCCACCCTAAACTTGAGATGAAGTCAACCATTTGTGGTGGGCACTTCCAGCCTTGAACAACACCAAGCATTTATCATTCATTGGAGATGAAACCATAAACGAAATCAGGACCGGATCAACTGCATAAAGATATAAAAGATAGTTGTAAAACTGGAAGATGTTTGTTTAGGATAAGCAATAATAAGCTTTGAGAAGAGGCACTAACCAGGAAGATAACATAAATGAATCAAGGTGGCAATTCATCAAACAGTTGGTGTGCACAGCCAAAATCTACGTAAAAATAGAATTCCTCTCCATCACAGAACAATCACCAAACATCATATCCTCAACATCCATTTACGAACATGAAGCGCCACCTCACAACCTCACATTCAATTCAAAAAAAAAAAAGAAATAACAAGAATGAAGAAGAGGATGTAATCGAAGCAGAAAAGGAAAAATCAATACCTGTAGTTCTTGTAGTTCTTGGAGGTTCGATCGATTTCAAGAAAGGAAATAGATGACCAGTGATTTTAGGTGACCTGGTTTGTCGATCGAAGTTTGAAGAGGGAAAAAGACATCTGATTGATTAAAGGGAAAAGGAAGGTACAAACTTTGGAGGTTGTGACTGTTGATCTATAATTTAGAAAGGAACGATATGTAAGAAGGGTTTGAACATACCCTTTTTACGATCTCTTGTAAGTGTGGGAAGTTGCTATGAGCTATGAATTATGTGAGGTCCGGTTCAAGCCCTAGTATCTTTATTTATTACGTGAAGATGGGCCATATGCGAAGATAAAAAGATGAAGACGGACCACATATGAAGAATTTTGGGTAAAGATATGGTTAGATCTGATTCAAAGCATATCTATAGGTATCAAAGCGGCCATGGAATTTGCAGAGTTTCATTAATTAGGTCATGGAAAAGAGAAAGGGTTTTTAGCTGGTAGAAGATGAGAATAAGGCGGGGGTTTTAATTTTTTGGGGTTTGATTTCCCCCCTTAGCTACTAAAGATGGAGAAGGCGCGTTTGATGAAAATTTTATAAAGCGACATGCATAGACGATACGTCTTTTATGCTGAGTGCCCTCCGTGTTTTTATTTTTTTTTGTTCTGACACTAATTTTAAGGGCACGCAATAATGCGTCACCTAAATCCTTAATTTTTTTTGAAGAGATGACACTCTTTTACTGTCACTCTCTTTTGCGTAACATAAATCAGTGAGTGTCATAGTTTGGGCGTCGTAAAAGGCTGTTTTTCTAGTAGTGATGCCTAGCTTTTATCGAAAATAGAAGAAGTGACAAGACTTTCATGCCTTGTCTATTCCACATCCATGCTTGTCTCCGTAAGCTATGCTTTAACTTACTTTATGTAAGATGCTTTATTAGCTTTTTTCTAGTATAAAAGTTAAGGTATGGAAGCATAAGACTTCACTTCTTGCAAGCATTCTTCTTCTTCCTCTTGGAGTGCCAAAAACGAGAGATCCTTGCTCTCTATGGGGCTACCAAATTTCAAGTTTTGCAAGCCTCCATTATCCTCCATTCTCTTGCATTTGGAGGTTAAGAATGTCCCTTTGTTGCTTCACCTTTGAACATATATTTGGTATATATTTCAAAGGCTTATGAATAACAAATTACAGGTGAATACTAGCATGTTTTGATGGTTCTACTCTTACTTGGTGGATACTTGTAAAGAACTCTTGTTTTAGAGTTTCATGCCACACTTTATCAACTTCCAACCTCCTATGAGGATCAAAGTCTTCAAAGGTTGTTATGATTTCCCTTATATGGTTGTTTTAATCTTTCTAACTCTTGCAAAATGATCATTGGTGGGTAAAATAGTTTTAGTTTTATTCAACAATTTAAAGCTTCCATTGTCAATTTTACAGGTTGTGAAACCGGATTTTTGAATAAATGCCCAACAGTTTCCATCACTGAAGGGTTCATAGAAGAGCAACCACCCGATCCATGCGTAGGGGTAAGGGGGTGAGTACGGATCGATGATTTTAAGGCGACAACTGGAATCACACAGTTGTTGCTTCAAATTTCGCGTGTGTCCAGATGTTCCAGGTTTTACAAACTCCATCTATTCCTATTGGATCGATATTCGACATCTATATCTCCATCTTGTCTGCAATTTTGAAGCTTTTTTGGGGAGGGTTTTGTATAGTTGGATTAAAGGCGATGAAATGTTTGAAAATAAAGGGATCAAAATAACAATAAATATAGACTTAGATAGATTCAAGGATCGTGTTTATCTAATACTTTCTGAAAGCTGTCATTCGTCCCTTTTACCTAGGGTACACGAATTTAGAAGTGGGATAATCCAAGAATAAACCATTCCGAATTACAAGCCTAATTCAGATTGAAAACACAAAATACCTTGCTTGATGTGTTAGTGAGAGATAGAGAAATTATGATATAATTTCGAGTATATGAATGTTCAACCCTTTACCGGAACCAGAAAAAAGTTCTTATACTAGAGGGAAAAGTGGATACAATCGGTTAAACAAAAAATGGCGCCATAACATGGTAATTATTGGAGACAACCAATACCTACACCATAGCTAGGGGTTCTGCCCCTTGGACTCTAGTAGGAGCGCTGCCCCTAGACCCCCTAAGGGGTTGTAGCCCTTTGGAACCCTGCACCTAAGGGCGCTGCCCTCAAACCCCCTGTAATCCTAAGTTCATATTTTTTACACCAAGTGTGCACCCCACACCTCCAAACTCGGTTAACAAACGGAGTTCGACATATCTCATTATTGATAATAATTATACAAAAATATGTTGATAATATTAAAATCATCAATATGAAAAAGGGCTGGCAGCCTCTATAAGGAAGACAATAAAAAGGGTCCCTCCGAATTGGAGTAAAATAGAGAGAGAGAGAGAGAGAGAGAGAGGAATTAAATGAGACCCCTAATTTATTTTCTTAATAGATAAAGATAATTAGAAATTTCAAAAATAAATTAAATGGATTATATAATCATTTTATGTTGTTAGAGGTTAATCATGCAACATTTTACGTTTTAAATGACCATCCGAGTTTATATTTGAAAATAAAGAGTAAATGTATTTTGTTTTTTTTTGCCAAATACAAAAGGGCTATTTTTTTGCCAGAAACTTTCAATGTTGTTTCCGAATCGATAAATATGACATTCGTAGATAATAAAAGGATGAAAAGCCCGAGCTTTGCCCAGACCATTTTTTTTTTCATGTTTTTATGAAAAAATGTGAAAGTTTTGACTGCAATGACCAGAAGTGTCAAAATAACTAAAAAATTAAAGGGTGAGATTTAACAACTTTTTAGAAAAGGGATCAAAGTTGTCAAACCGTTAAAGTTTTGTGACAAAACTTTAAATATTAAAAGGTTCTAAAAAAGTGTAAAAATATTGATTAGAATGACCAAAAGTGTCAAAATTGCTAAAGAATTAAGCGTAAAGTTGCCAAAAAAATCATCCAAATTTACTATTCGTAACTTTGAAGCCCAACAATTGTATAGGGACCTGTTCTATAAAAAAACAGGAAGTTTACTATTCCTAACATTTATATATATATATATATATATATATATATATATTATATATATATATATATATATATATATATATATATATATATATATATATATTAATTTCATGTGTAGTAAACCTATGCATCCGACCACCCACATATTCTTTTGTGCTCCTTTCGTTTTCTTCCAACAACAATTAACAATTTTAAATGGAAAATTCACGTGAAATAAAGGGAAAAAGTAAAGTTTTCAATTTATTCTACGTATCCTAGTAAC